CTCAAGCAATCCTCCTGCCTCAGCCTCCCGAGTAGCTGGGACTACAGGCATGCGCCACCATGCCCGGCTAATTTTTTTCCTATATATTTTTAGTTGTACAACTAATTTCTTTCTGTTTTTTTAGTAGAGATGGGGTCTCGCTCTTGCTCAGGCTGGTCTTGAACTCCTGAGCTCAAACAATCCACCTGCCTCAGCCTTCCAGAGTGCTAAGATTACAGGCGTGAGCCACCACACCCGGCCAAGACTAAGTTTTAAAAATACGATTATTCTTTTATTCCTTTCAAGTTTCTCCTATGTAATTCCAAGAAAGTGTACAGTTGTATAATCTCTGCTCTAAAACAATCATATAAAAATTTTTATTATCACCTTAAAAGCCAATAAAGTGAAAATATTTTTTTCAAAAGTTTCATTTCTTTCTTTATTGGCCATAAGAAGAATAAAGGCAATGACATTCTACATCTCTTATTACTTTCCTATAAAGAGGGCAGGGCTTATTTGTGAGGTTAATATATCACTAATTTATATGAATGATGATTATATCCATAGGCAGATGGCTATGTGATGTGGCTTGAAGGTTCCTGGAAAGGCTCCTTCTGCCTTGTGCTCCAGCAACATAATAGTAGCTGAAAATTCTACCTATGGAATCATTGTCTTGGGATAAAATATTATATTCCATGATTCTTCTGTTCAAATACTAAAACTGCTATGCCATTCTTTGTTCTTAAGACTTCACAAACAAGTACAGAGTTCTCCTTACCACCCTTGTTCTACGCACTTTAGCTGGCTGAGTACAGGTCCCCAGGGAATGGAACACAGCACAGAATGTTTTGGGAAAGAGGAAATAGTCCTTTAAGGATTGGGGTACTGCTTGAGGAGCCAGGTTTATGTATGGTACTGAATTAGAGACCTGCTGATATAAGGGGCATCATTAAGGCATTAGAGGACAGAAGGATAAGGGAAAAGAATGCTAAAAGGGCAACCAGAGAGCTGCTAAGGTAAATTACCCTACCTTACATTTTCCCCAAAGCCATTTCCAAATACACAACTAAACTTTCTTGCTCATTTTTTTTCTTTTGAGACAGAGTCTCACTCTGTTGCCCAGGCTAGAGTGCCATGGCGTCAGCCTAGCTCACAGCAACCTCGAACTCCTGGGCTCAAGCAATCCTCCTGCTTCAGCCTCCCAAGTAGCTGGGACTACAGGAACACACCACCATGCCCGGCTAACTTTTTTCTATTTTTAGTTATTTGGCTAATTTCTTTCTATTTATAGTAGAGACGGGGTCTCACTCTTACTCAGGCTGGTCTCAAACTCCTGACCTCGAGCGATCCACCCGCCTCGGCCTCCCAGAGTGCTAGGATTACAGGCGTGAGCCACCGCGCCCGGCCTCATTTTTAAAAATATTAACTTGGGAGAGTTGCATAGGAGGGCCATATTATTCCAATGGGACAGATGGCTCTATTCTGTAACAAGCCTAAGTTTCTTCTGTCTATCTTTTCACTAAATCCCACACACAGACCTCAAATTTGGAAGGTCACACAGAGATGTAACACTAAATCCAGATATTTATCTTTTTATTAAAATCTTTTACCAAAGCCTTCTTACACTGTCTTGATGCTTCTTCAGTTTGGAAATTTGTTCTCCTTTAATTTCCATTTTCTTGACTAAACGTTCTAGTTCACATTCTATGTCATCACAGACTGAATAGCTTTCGGTTTCCTTCATTTGTTTCAGTAGTTCTTGATGCTCCCTATGAAAGGAAAGCAAGTATCAACCACTGTTATAGTTTATAGTATATGTTTTTGCCATAATTAAAACATTGTTCAATCATAGATTTTAGTCAGAGCTAAATATTACTCTTCAAAAATAGTCTCTTCCTTTAGGGTTGTGTAATTAAATATAAGGTAAATATAACCGGGCTCTTGTGATTAAATACAATTAGAAATATGTAAAACTTAGGCTACTAAACAACTTTTAACAAAACCTGAATTCTTAATGCTCATAGCTAAATGTAGTCAAATGTTCTCATGTCCTTAACTAGAGGCATTATTAAATGGCTCTCTTCTTAAATAATTCCAACTCCCAAATTATTGATGCAGTATTTTTGAAAGAATTACAGCTGTGGAAATATTTGCCTGAGAAATCCCTGGATTTGGAGTTCGCTTAATCAATGAAATATTGTCAATATATAATAACTAGCTATATCTTCTACAGAAGTCTTAGTTCAACTAGTTGGCCAGCCAAATCACACAGTTCTGGAATTTCTGTTGGATATATATTTAAACATGGGGCATTATACAATGTATCCCATACAGAAATCTTCCTTACTGTGGATGCTGCTTCAAAATTTGTAATGCAGACTTACCAAAGTCTAAAATAAGGAATTTCATTTCTACTTGTGTAATGAAATCATTCATTTAACTAAAAGATTCTATAAAAGCTTTTGTGAGTTATAATTTAAGGTCACCAGACCCTATGTATTAGAATGACAGTAATATCTATCTATCAGTCCGGATCTTGGGAATACAGAAACTCCTTAGATTGGAAAAATAGTAATTATACACAATTAAAATTTTAAATAGTACCAATAAATACAATGAAAAATCAGTAACAATAAATCTGTTCAAATGGCCACATAAGACCTTTAAGAATTTATAAATGGCACTGTTCTTGAGACTGAGAAGAAAAAATGATATCTAAATATCTTGCTACTTCTCCTGATAAAGAATAAAAATACTTACACACTCATTTGGTCCAGCTCATCCTGCATTGCCATTAAAAGTTCGGACAAATTGTCACAAATGGAAACGGACTTTTCTGAGTCAGAAGGTACAGCTTTACACTGGGAAGTTTTTCTAATAGGCTTGTAGAAACATCTAGGCTCAGTCACTTCAGAAGGTTTCTGAAGGATATGTGGGCCACAATGCTGCATCATCTGCAGAAGGTTTTGCACACTCGCATTCACAGGGCAGCTTGCATTGGAAGACTTAAGGGGAAAAGAAAGAGCCCAGAACAATTTTAAACAACTGATGGTATTTAAATAGCACTTACAATGAAGCAGAAGTTTTTTGAACTATCTTTACTTTTTTCCCCCTCTCACCTTTTCAGACACAAAAGGCAGTGCTCCAAATTTTGAATAAATTTGCTGAGGTGGTCCTCTCTTTAAACATTTAGTTTTCTAGAGATTGACAAGGGAAAAGTAACCAAAAAATTATCTTAAAAGACATTTATAATATAAAGACCTCTCAAAACTCAATAGTAAACAATGCAATTTGAAAACAAGCAAAAGACATGGACAGAAATTTCACTGAAAAAGACATATGATGGCGAACGAAAGATATGAAAAGATATTCAATGTCATTAGCTATTAGGGAAATGCAAATTAAAATTACAATGAAATATCACTGCACATCTATCATAATGACCAAAATCAAAAATAGTGACAACACCAAATGTTGGCAAGCATGCAGAGAAATTGGATCAGTCATATATTGTTGGTGGGACTACAAAATGGTACAGCCATTTTGGAAGACAGTTGGGCAGTTTCTTATAAAACTAAACAAGTATTTATCATATAACCCAACAATTGCTCTCTTGGGCATTTATCCCAGAAAATGAAAACTTATGTTCACACAAAAATCTGTACACAAATGTTCATAGCAGCTTTATTTGAAATAGCCTCAAACTGGAAACAAACCAAATATCCTTCAACAGATGAATGGTTAACCTGTGGTACATCCATAATGTGGAATACAATGCAGAAATAAAAAAATGTACTGATATATGCAACAAGTTGGATGGCTCTCAAGGTGAAAAAGCCAATCCCAGAAGCTGAGCAAAAAAAGCCAATCCCAAAAAGTCACATACAGTATAATTATATTTATTTAACATTCTTAAAATAACAAACTATAGAGATAGTGGACAGATTATATAGGTTGCCAGGGGTCAGGGAAAGGGATGTGTAGTTATAAAGGGATTGCATGAAGGAGCCTTCTGGTGGTGGAACAGTTCTGTATCTTGATTGTTGTGATGGTTACAGGAATCTACACATGTGATAAAACTATATAAACTGTCATGCTGCTATCAATTACCATCTAGAATTACAGCGCTAATCATGTCTGTACTCTTCTCAGAAGCCTTCAGTGGTTCCCAACTATTTATAGAATAAAAGTTCAAATTTTTAACATGGCATTCAAGGTTAGCCATTATCTCACCCCAAGCTGTATTTTCAATTTTAACTTTCACTATGACCCCACCTCACGCCCACTACTGGACCTATAGGTCCCTGGAAAAACCAACAATTTCTTCAGACTGTAATACACTTCTCCTCATCTAAGTCTGACAATACTTATTAATTCTCCCAGGCTGTCTTTAGTGCTGCTTTTTGCATTACCCTTCACATATTTCTTTGTCTATACAGCACCACAACACTTTGTTTATATCTCTATTAAGCTTTTATTACACTTTAATATTTGTATATTTATCTGTTTCTCATAAATTTCTCTCTTATTTATCTCTTTATTACATAGAGACACCAGTCTATGGTATCAAGATGTATGAGTTGAATGAATTATGAGTTATGTCTAAGATATGAAGAAACAGTGTGAGTAGAAGCGGGTCTCTCATAGAGGTTTCCTGAAATCTGATCCTACTTTCAGCAACATTAATGTCACTTCGTTTTTAAAGGGAGACAATACAATTTGCAGATCTCATGAACTTGTGATTTGAACTAAGTACTTATTTATTTATTTATTTATTTATTTTTTTTATTTCAGCATATTATGGGGGGAACTAAGTACTTTCATAAAGTGATTTTGCTGTTAATTATTCTCTTCTCTTCCAGAAGCTACCTTTTCTTTCCTTATTTTTTTTTTACCTTCTCCCTGTACCTTTACTATTTTTACAACGAATAAGTCAATATTTGTTCTTCTTGCAAATTACTGATAGTGATTTTCTATTTGGCTTTGTGGCTTTGAATCGCATTGCACAAACAAGACACAAAACAAATATTTAAGGAAGGAATAAGCAAAAAACATATAAAGCTACATTGGGAAAATGTTTTTCATTATTGTAGTTTGAAAATTCTTTAAAAGAAAAAATTATGAAAAATACAGCCAAAGTACTGACATTAATTCTTATTTATGTAATAAAAGAGGGCCAGGCATGATGGCTCATGCCTATAATCCTAGCATTCTGTGAGGCCGAGGCAGGAGGATAGCTTGAGCTCAGGAGTTCGAGACCAGCCTGAGCAAGAGTAAGACCTTGTCTCTCCTAAAAATAGAAAAATTAGCTGGGCATTGTAGCATGAACCTGTAGTCCCAGCTACTTGGGAGGTTGAGGCAGGAGGATCTCCTGAGCCCAGGTGTTGGAGGCTGCAGTGAGCTATTTTGACACCGCTGCACCCTACCCAGGGTGACAGAGTGAGACTTTGTCTCAAAAATAAAAAAAAGTAGCCAAAGTTAAGTATTACGTTCTCTCCATTATTTTATCCACAGAGTAAGCATACAATAGTGGACAGAATTTTCAAATAGTATCCCTGACTCTCATAGCAAATGGCACACAGAAACACTCACTACATGCAAAATGAATAAATAGTAATAATGGTCATCAAAACTATAATCCCAGAATCATAAGATTAAAAGGGATTTAAGTTTTTTTATTACTATTATATATAATTAAGAAGGTTAAGCTACAATATATCTAAAACATCAATTCATCTAAAGAAAATCTTGGTCAATCTATAAAGTACTAACTCCCCAATCCTTATTTTCAGGCAAATTCAAAGGATATGAGTATAGAAAAAAGAAATAATAATAAATTCCATATATAAATGCCTTTACAGACCTGTAAGTTAACAGGTCTGTAAAAAAAAAAAAAAAAATTCTGTTTTTTATTGTGTATGTATTACATAAAACTGCTTTCAGGATTTATTGTGTTATCAGCATCTACTATGTTGTTTAGTGCCTCTTTTATAAAGTATCACAAAATATGTTTCCCCAAGAGTTTAAACCTAGGAAAATCTTTATCTTTCTAGAAAAACTGAAGTGCTTCATGTTATTTCACAGAGACAGCTATACTGTCCATTATGTGCTCTTTTTTGCTTTGGCTGCCAACAAACTCAGAGCTAAGTTTTATGCACAACTGCTATTACTTTCTTTAACCTGGGTTTTATGAAATTTTCTGTCCTTACACCCAAAACCATCATCACTTGACATGCACTATTCCATGTCTTTTATTATATACCTCTTCAAATCCTTTCTGGAAATGGGTTAGGTATAAACATTAAGAGCGTGAATAAATAAGTATTAGCAAATAAGAAAATGTTGTTTGGGAAAAAGTTTTATATGCATACCTTTGAAGATTTCTTCTTTTCCTTGGACTGTTTTGGATTTGAAACTGATGACATTAAAATTCTATTGATTTCAAGTCCAGTTTGAAGCTGTAAGAGTAAAGAAAAAACTCACAAAATTGATTTGTAATATGCTTCTTCAAGAACATTATAATGAGAGGTCAGGTCTCAGTTTATAAATATAAAAGTGCTTTTTGAGGAAGAAAAGAAAATCCAAAATACTATTTTGTGTGTGTGATAGTTACTAAGTATATTAGTAATTATAATAATATTCTGTTTATAAGAGAATGAACTATTTAATATATATAAATCAAACTGAAAACAATCTATCCTAAGAGTTCTTTCAACTGAGAATATATGCATTTGTCAGAATTTCAAAAGATTAAAAGACCTCTTGGCAGTGCATCCAAGCATAATGAATACACCGGCTGATTGAGAATTTCATTTTACAGCAAAAAGAGACAAAACCAACAAGCTAGGAAGTAGAAATTAGAATCTAATTTTCAGTTAAGGAAAATACAGTATAATATTAATAAAACATATATGGTTTACCATGACAGATTAGTGCTCTATTTACCTCAGAAGCTTTGTCTTGAAATAGCTTACGTTGATGTTCTTCTTCTGTAAGTTTTTCCTCTAAATGTTTAATCTTGTCCTGCAAAAAGAATCGAAAACTGGGATTGTTATAAAAACTAGAGCCAAATATCCTCTGTTCCTTTTCCAAATAGAATTCTAGTGGTCTTGATTCTTAAGAGTTTGGCAAGCTGAAACTAAGAAAAAGCGATGACAAAAAATGCTAAGATTTTTCTTGGCTTTCTTCCTGCTTCTTTCTTTTACCAGCTATTTCGCGTAAAGAAAACAAAGAGAAAGCAAAGACTGTATACACACATAGGCTTCCAACTTCCAACAATAAAACTAAAATGATGAAACTTATGAGGGTACTAAAGGTCTAGAAGGTCAAATTATTATAGTCTTGGGTCTCAATGTTTCATTCAAAACATACAAAAATAACAATAAATTTCTGTCATGTACGTATGATAAAGGTGCAATTTCTGGGGGGAAAGAGAGGGAAGGAAGACATATTAGAAATATAATATGTGGTCCTTGTTACTTAAGAGCTTATACAGGTTAGGTATCCCTTATCTGAAATGCTGAAAACAGAAGTGTTTCAGATTTTGGATTTTAGAATACTTTCAATAAGGGTTTAGTATCAATAATCCAAAAATTCAAAATCCAAAATGCCCCAGTGAACATTTCCTCTGAGTGTCATGTCAGTGCTCAAAAAGTTTTGGATTTTGGAGCATTTCAGATTTCATATTTTCAGGTTAAGGATACTTAATTATTATATACAATAATTAATTACTTAATTACTTAATTATTATGCACAATATATAAACAAAAGTAATATACATGAAACAATAAAACAACAAAGCAATGAATATTATTTGACATAAAGGATGTATATATAACCACGTGTATATAATGTTATACACATAAGTATTACATCTTAAATCTGTTGTGTGGTTCAAAATAGGAGGATAGTACTATTTCAGAGAGAACTTCCTAAGTTATAGACCATTAGTACCCTCAAAGTTTCTCCACCACTTATGTTGGAGAGCTCAAGAAGGCTTCCTAGAGAAAATCCTATAAAATGGAAAAGATTTGGGTGGAAAAAGGAGAGGCATGGGATCTAAGTAGCCTTAATCTGACTGCAAGTGGTGAAAGACAATCTTTTCAATATCCCTGAGGTAACTTAACTGCCAAATGCAAATGTCCTGCCATATTAGAAGAAGTCAAAATTACAATTTTATATCAAAAAACAAGCTCATTTATGCCATGATGGAACATATTAACTTTTCATCTCTATAGGTAGGAATTCATATCTGGATTAATAAAAGTTGTAAATGAAATTTTATAAATCTAAGATTTACTGCACATTCACATACAATGTCAATTATGTTTGGCACTAAAGTTTTATTCCCGCCATCATCACTTCAAAGAAACAAGTAAAAGCTTACCTCAGCAGCTTTCTGAGTTGCTGTAAGTCTGAAACACTCTTTTTCTAAGACGTCAAGCTTTTCAAGTTTTGCGTGCAGCCTCATCTGATCTTGTTCTTTTTCTCTTTGAAGCTGGGCCTGGAAAGGATAAAAACAAAACTTGAATTTGGCAAGTGATGCCAATGAATCAAGAATAATACAATTTCTGAGAATTCAAAACACAATATAAATCTGTCATAAGAAACACGTTCATATTTCAGGTGCTTACAAGCCAAATCAAATACTTTTAAGGAGCAAATATAATGTACCAAAAAAGATGTGCTGTATTAGCATCAATGGAACAAACTCTTCTATGCATCTTTATGTAACAATTCTACTAAGGAAAAAATCATTAACAAAACCTGTATTAAACAGTGTTATTTATTAACACAAGGTGACCAAACCTACTCATTGACTTACCCTCTCTCTAACTCTAACATAGAAAAGCAGCTATCAGAGGAATAAACCATGAAGAGAGCACAGGAGAAAAGGAAAGTTTGCACATACATATGCACATCTATATACAGTTTTGTAATGGTATTTATTACCACACTAATGAAAGATATTAATAATAAGGACAACTCTGAGGAGGCAAGAACTCTCTGTACTATCTGCTCAATTTTCTATAAACCTAAAATGGCTCTAATAGACAAAGTCTATTAGTTAAAACAGAAACAAAAACAAAAAAACCACCAATAAACAGAGTCTTGATGACCCACAGTCTTACATTTAATTAGATTTTCAGAAGGAGAGGAGAGGGAGGTGGGACAGAATAATTATTTGAAGGATAATGACTAAAAATTTTCTAAATTTAGTAAAAAATACTGACAGATTTAAGAATCTCAAGAAGTCCAAGTAGAATAAATACAAGAAAACCACACTTATAGGTACATCATTATGAAATTTTTGAAAACCAGTAATAAAGGAAAAATCTTAAAAGCAGCCTGAGAAATGATGACACATTATGCACAGAGGAATAAAGATAAGAATTGTCATTGGAAACTATCAAATCCAGAAGACAAATTAAACAAAATATTTAATGTGCTGAAAGAAAAAAGCTTTCAACTAGAATTCTACATCCAGCCAAGATATCTTTCACAAACGACAATGAAATAAAGACTTGTCCAGATAAATAAATGCTAAGAGACTTTCCTTCAGACTAAAAAAAAATAGATGGAAAATCAAATCTACACATAGAAAGGAAACCACTGGAAATGGTAAAAATGTGGATAAATATATATATTTTTTCTGTTTCTTAATTTTCTTTAAAGGATAATTGGCCATTTAAAGCAAAAATAATAATGTATTGTGGGTTTTATGACATATGTAGAAGCAAAATATATGAAAACTGTAGCACAAAGAGGGATAAGTAGAAGCATACCATAGAAAGGATCTTATATGTGAAATATTTTAATACTAATTCATGGCAGACTGTGGTAAGTTAAGAATACATATTTTAGCCTCTAGAGCAGCTATTAAAAAGGAGGAGGAAGAGGACCAGGATGAAGAGGAGCACATAACAGAATTTTAAAAGAAATCACCAAAAAAGTTAGAAAATATTTTTAACTGAAAGATAACAGAAATATAAAGCATCAAAATTTGTGGGACTCAGTATTTAGAAGAAAATTGATAGCTTTAATTACAAAATATAATATCTAAAAGGAAAGAATAAAGGTTTAAAATCAATAACCTAAGTATCTAAAATAGGAAGCTAGGGTAAAAATTAAGTGAATTAGACCCCAGAAAGAAGAAAATAATGAAGTTGGAATCAATGAAATAGAAAATGAACAAAAAAACCTGAAAAAAATTTTTAAAAGTTGTTTTTTTAAAAACAAAATAAAATTATAAAGTGACAGGTAGACTAATTCTTATCTTAAAAAGCAAAAACACAAATTAACAGTATCAGGAAGAAAAGAGGGACATCAATAAAGACACAAGAAAAAAATGGAAAATCTAAGTAGCCCTGTATCTGTTAAATAAGTTCAATTCATAATTTAAAAACCTCCCACAAAGAAAACTCCAGTCCCAGATGGTTTCTGTCAAATATTGAGTTCTATCAAACATTTAAGAAAGAAATAATGCTAATCTTACACAAGATCTTTCAGAAAATAGAAGGAATCCTCCCAACTAATTTTTTCTTTTTTTTCTTTCTTTTCTTATTATTTCCCTGTCCTGAAATAATGCAAGCACCAACTAATCTTTTGAGATCTGAAAACCCAAGACACCATATCCAGACATTATAAGGAAAATTACAAATCAAGATCCCTCATGGACATAGTCACAAAAATACCTAAGCAAAATATCAGCAAATTGAATCAAGCCATGCACAGAAAAATAATACATGTCAAGATCAACTGGTGATCTTCTACACTAGGAATACAAGGTTAGTTAACATTTGAAAATCAATCAGTGTAACTTACCATGTTAACAGAATAAAAGGAAAAAAATATGATGCTCTCAAAGAATGCAGACAAAGCAACTGACGAAAGGTGACACCCATTCTTGACAAAACTTTCAACAAACTTAAAAGGTAATTTCCACAACTTGATAAAGTGCAGCTAACAAAAACCTGTAGTTAATATCATACTTAATAGTAAAAGACTAGTAGCTTTCCCCTAAAGATCAGGGGGATGTCAGTGCTAACCACTTCTAGTTAACATTGTATTAGCTATAACAGCCAGTGCAGTAAGGTGAGAAAAAGAAATCGGAGCCATAAAGATTGAAAAAGAAGAAAAAAACTATTTTTATTCATGGATGACATGATTGTGTATATAGAAAAGCCTACCAGAACTAATAAGTAAATTTAGAAAGGCCCCAGGATATAAAGTCATATGAAAATCAATTATATTTTTATATACCAGTAATACACAAATGAAAAATGAAATAAAACCATAATACTATTCATAATAGCATTAAAAAATATGAAATGCTTAGAGATTTTTCTTAATCGTCTGCAATGGCATCCCTATCATACATTGAGTTTCCATATGAGTGGGTCTGACTATAGTCCATTCCTTTATTCTAGTTGTCTATCCATATAAATAACACTTTATTTCAATTGTAACAGAATTATAATTTGTTTCAATATCTAGTAGAGAAAGACCCTCATCTTATTCTTCTTCTGAATAATCTGTTCTTGGACCTTTGCTTTTCCATATAAATTTTAGAGTCAACCTCTCTAGTTCCTTTAAAACCTATTACATGCTTGACCCATCAAAGTCCAGTATTGATTGGTATTTTTACTCTTTTCCAAGACAATGTAAGGATGTAAGAACCACTTTCAACTACAATTATTCTCTCCTAATTTATATGCTATTGTTCTGATGAATTTTAATCCTTTATACATGTATATTTAAACCACATAAAGCATTATTGTTGTTTTATATAATATTAACTTAGAATTATCCATGTATTTATTGTTTCTGTTGCTCTTTATTCCTTCCTGCACCTATGACCTTCCACCAAAGATAATTTTTCTTCTGTCTGATTAATAATGTCCTTTAGTGTTCCCTTTAGAGTGTACCTACTGGTAACAAATTATCTCAGTCTTTGTTAGTCTTAAAATGCTTTTATTTTACCTTTATTTCTGAAGGATATTTCTCCCAGGCATAGATTTCTAGATCAGCAGTTATTTTCTTTTAATATTATTACATCTTAATTCTCTTTAGTCCATTATCTTTTGGATTTGGCACTTTCAGTTGAGAAGTCAACTATCATATTAATTGCTGTCTCTTTGAATGTAATTTTTTTTCTGGCTGTTTTTAAGATTTTATTTTTGGTTTATAATTTATTTTATTATAAGGTGTCTGTATATAGCTGTCCTTATATTTATCCTGCTTTAGTTTTATAGGGCTTCTTGAATCTGTGGTGTGATTTTACTTTTTAATCAATTTTGAAAAATTCTCAGCCACTACTTCCTCAAATATTGCTTCTGTCCCATTCTCCCTTTCCTTTCCTTTGAAATTCCAATTACATATGTTAGATCTTCTCACTCTAACATTACGACTTGTCCTCTGTTTTCTGAATTTACTATCATTCTGTCTCTTCCTTCACTCCTCCCCTGGCGCCCCTTCCTAGCTTCCTTTCTATATTCTGTCTAGTTTTTCTCTGCAGTAGGGTTGTTTCAAATGACCTGGTCTGTCATTACTATTAGGGGAAATCTCCTATAATACAGCTTTATATCCTACTTTACTTAAGATTATAATGTAATTTTCCCATGCTAAATTAAATATTCTTCCAAAACACATTAAATTATATTATTATTCCTTACAGAAAACATGTTTACCTGTTGTTCTAGGATCATATTCTTTTCTCGCTCTACATTGAGAACCATTCTCTTTGTATATTCTAGTTGTTTCTCTAGAAGGGTACAACGAGACTGGGCTGAGCTTAACTGCATACTTATTTCTATGAAAAAGACAAAATAATAATGAGTCAATTCATTGATTATCACAGAGATCAGAGATTTGGTTATCACAAGAAATGTATTATGTGAATTCAATCAAGAGCTAAAAGTTCAAAGCCTCTTTTAGCCCTAAGTATTGACTTTCAAAGAGTTATGAACATATATTTTGTGAATATCTCATTAATTATATATAATTGGTTTAATATTATCTCCCCCTAAAAATCCAGAGGGCATACTTCTGAAAGGGGATGATGTCAGTAACTTCTGGGATGATAAATATCCTGGCTGTTCCTGGGAAATGATATCATCTAAAAAAACAGAGGATGTAAAGTTTCTTACCTATTAATTATTTTTATTCTTTCAGGAAACTCAGGTATATGTACTTTACCACTCCTATTTTCCTCTGTTCTTGATTATTGGTAGCAAAGTTAATTTCATGGGAGTAAGCAACCTATTTCTAAGCCTTTAACTTTTTACTTGCCTTAACTTTTTCTTCTACTTTTGTCTAATTACCTCAGAAATCTTTTTCTCCCTATTTCTTCATTTTACTTGTAAGGTCAAACATGAATTTAGCCTTATTTATAAGGATCAGGGTAGTGTTACAAGGAAAAAGACGTAAGTTCTGAAGTGAAATTATATAAAGGACTTATGTTCTAAATTTCTAAAACTCTTGTGTCCAGATGTTCTTGTCATAATTTCCACAGAAGTTTCCACCTATCTGCCTATTCCTCAAATTAAACTTGTTTTCCTCTCAAATTAAATTCTTTTTCATTCATTTTTATTGTTTTTATATTGTCTAATTACTAGTATTGCTTTATATTTCAAATTTTAAAATTTATCATTAACTAAAGACATAAAGCATTTCAATTATATTATGGGTTAAACTAGATTTTGTTGGTTAGTCTGAAAATATTCTAATTTCTAAATACAACTTGTCTAAAAACAATTTTTCTTTTAATCTCAAGAATTTATGAACTGGGATAACAGATATAATAGAGGTAAGTTCAAAGCTACATGCTTTTTCCACAAATATCAAAATGTCTGAGAACAAGGCCACAAGGTTTGAATGTATATAAGAACAAAGATGTTTGAGTAAATCTGCTTAGACTAAGTTTATTATTTTCAAACTGTGAATTTTGATAACCCCTCATTTCTGAGAACTACTGCATTTTATACCTTTTTTCTGCTTTATCAGTTCCTGATGTGCCAGATTTCTCTCATTTGTTTCATTCTCCAAGGCCTTTTTATACTGTGCTGCTTCTCTGGAAAGAATGTTCAGATTATCTTCAGCTTGTGTTCTCTCTAGCTCTAAACGATGAATCTTTTCCTGAAGAGTTTTTAAGGCTAAAATAAGAGCTGTTGGAAAAAAAATGTAGTTGATGTTTTAAGTGAAAGTTTCTGAACACTTACAATCACAATAACGTGAAAAAATGAGTAGTATATTCTTGTTAATGAGACAGAAAAATCTGTATGTATATTCCTCATAAAAATGAAAATGACTAAAACTCTAAAGACAAATTTTTTCCATCATATCTTGTAAACACAATGTATCTATGATTGTATTTAGTGATTCCAAGCATTGAGAAAGCTAATAACCACAACTTAATTTAATAAAATAAATATTTTCAAATAAAAGGGCTTAAGATAATGTTCAGTATGGGAGACAAGAATCTGAGTATGTACAAAGAATATTAAAATTAACATGGTAAGTTAGGTTCAAAGTTAAAAGTTTTTCTCAGTTCTTAGTGTGTTTAGTTTTAATCAAACCACAAACATTAAAATAAAAGAAAAAAATTGAAATCCTTTAAATGGCATAAAACAAACAAACAAGCAAACAAACAAAAACCCACATTTATTGTTTCTTTGTCCAAGATGTAGTACTAAGAATTAGGGCATATGAGGTAGAACAGTTTCTTCTGTTGGAAAAAAAGTATAACTTAAGTTATACTTAAGTATAAGTATGCTTTACCTGATGTCAGGCTTGAAAGATTATAAATAGTACACATGTACTACCATGATTTTTATTCAGCTATATTAATATCTTCATGATTGAGATAAGTTCAGAGTTTTAACTTCCATATATTTTATATAAAATTAGAAAGATGCTTGCTAGAGATCATCATTTGTTTTTTACAAATAAGATACAGAAATTATATTTACTGCTCTTTATATGGTATATGGCATAAGGTATGCCTGGGATCATAAGTATTTCCCTAATTCAATTTTAAGATCCTTCTAAATTTATATGTAAAAAGTTATAAAACTAGTATTTTATAGTATTCTGGCTTCCTAAAGAATTTTCAAGGATGATTTTGGATATATGCAATTTCTGAATGTAATCCGTGAATAAGATACAACTCCACCTAATTTACTAGCATTCTAATAATCTAGTTTAGAAGGATGCCAAATCTGACTTGTTATTCTTCAAAGAGTATTTTCCTGTTTTCTAATGATGTTTTTATGATAAACCTGTGATATGTATCCAGCTGGTTATATTAATCTTCATTTTACAGCTGAAGAAGCCAAAATAAAAAGTATTAAGTAACTTGTCTAAATTCATAGAAACTTTTAGCAACAGAATCAAAATTAGGAGTTTTATTAAGACTAAATACACAATTATATTATTTTCTACATAAAAATGAAAAGTTTTTATAACATAATTTGTATCATTCCTCTAATTTTATATAAGATTTTAAATCAGCATTACCTTGGCTATTTGGGCTATGAAACACTTTAGAAGAAGTAACTTCTAAGTTCATAGGTTGGCGATTCTGAGATGATTCATTCTGGGTGAATGATGGAACAAACATTCTTTCTGGAGGTTTAAGATAGCTTCCTACTACACTATGCATTAACTCAGAATTCATTATCTGTAGAGAATAAAGGCATGATATAGTATAGCATCAATTCTTTCCTATTTGAAGGACAAAAACATTATACAAAACTTCAGGTAAAACTTTAACATAACAACATAATTGTATACTGTGGAGTTATATCTTTATGAACTTAATTATCACAAATTCAACTATAATAAGCTCAGCAATAAAAGAAAAATGACTATTTCCTGTATAAATGGTATGGGCAATTATACTGATTTTCAATAATCATATATCCTGGGGTAAGCTTGACATGGGTGATATCAATTTGCTGGCTTTTCAGTTACTCATAAGTCCCACATACCTACTATAGTCTGAACATCTCTCCACAAACAGTGTGACTCTAGGGTTTAAAAAGAAAGTACATATTCTAAAAGACCAAAGCCAAAAATATATTCTGATTCTCTATTGTTGACTGTTGGACTCCAGTATATCGGGATTTTCAAGGGCAATTTTGGATATATGTAATTTCTGAATCTAACCCTTGAATAAGCCACATCTCTACTTAATGCACACGCATTTTAATCATCTAGCTAGGAAGGGTTCAAAATCTGAAGAATCTAGAATAGTATTATTTTGTTATTCTGTGTTTTATTTTGTTTTGTTTTGTTTTGTGGGACAGCCCTTTTAACCATTTTATCAGCAGGTAATTTTTTTATCTATTCTTCCCAAATCATTTTATTTTCCTTTCTGCAATTTAAATATTTTAGAAATGTATTCTCTTATACTTGATTCAGATTCAGATTTAATTGACATGTTAATTAAATTAATTCATAATGACACTGGAAGAAACAAGGTAATAATTGTTCACAGAAAATAATTCACTGGCACAATTTTAAGTAAGGAATCTTGCTTTAAAATACAAATACAAGAATCACACTATAAAATCAGCCTATTTCGATTTTTGAGAATTACACATTTTCCATGATTTCAATACCGTCCCAATTCATAAGGCAAGTGCAGGCACTTCCCATGACTGTACTTCCTAGAAGGGCAGAGTATACACTTCATTTCCCAGGATTTTCTACGTTAGCCTTTGCCATGATTGGCTATTTTCAGGACATTCTGATTGGTCTAAAAGAGAGATTATATAGCCCAAGAAGGTTTGCTAAAATACTTGATGCTTTTTGTTCTTGGAAGGAAACCATATTTTGCTATTGTTATTAGCACTAGCTACCTCAGACACTGCTTCCCATGGAACACTGCATCTATTTAAGTTGCCGTTGCCTCAAAAAACAAGAAACCAAAATTAGTCACAGCTAAGTCACTATGAAGTGGAGGTAGGGCCCCAAAATACATAAGTTCTGAAGATGGTTGTACAATTTAAAGAGAGAGGTAGGTGGTTGAAACTATGCCAAGAACATTGGAGCTACTCCAGAAACCCAGGTGGGTTTCTCCAAGAATGGAAAGAATGAAATTTTGTCATTAATCATTTACAATGAAGTCCTTGGGAAGACTCTGTTTACTCTGACCCAAATATAATATCATTTTATAAATTGGATTGTGTACCAATTTAAAAACTGGTTGAAGTTTGAGGTTTTTAATGTATATGAAATAATGATGACTTAGAAGATTGCTGGTAAGTTATAAATTAGACTAAAGTTTATTTAAATTAAATGTGTAGACATATATTAAAGTGGGCACAAGCAGACTAACAACCCACTGGTAAAATGAAAATAAAGTGAGGAAAAAGAAAGAAAACAGTAAAGAAATAAGAGACGACAACCTATGCTGTGACATAGAGCTCAGGGGTTCTCATTGTAATGGGGTCCCAGCTTAACTCTTACAATCTGGTCCTGAGTTGTAAACAAGTGCACAAGCCCACTAGAAGCTTATTTACACAAAGAACTGAGGCATCCTGGCAGAAAATTCACTCTGAAGGAAGATGAAACAAATAAAAAGCTTGATCCAAAATCAAAGGAGAGGTTGGTTGAGGAGAGGAGTGATTCTGAGTATGGTAGTAGTCATTCTAATTCATTTCTGACCTAATTCCATGGACTTATATGTAGGTCCTGAGAAGAGAGAGGGCTATAAGTGAAAACTGAGAAATGTTTCACCAATATCTCTATAAAATATTGAGACATTAGCTTTCCTGCTTTGTATAAAATGTTATATTCAAATGGAGGGAGAAGTTGTCTAAGACCACTAACACACTTTAGGCTCCTTGAGAATTCTGGTACGTGGGTAGCAGTATTCAGCCAGACAGAGAGAGAGAGAGAGAAGCTGGAACAGGCATATTTGTGGGCAAATATGAGAAAAATTTCTAGAGAAAAATTTCTGAAAATACATAGAGGTACCTAAGCCCCAATCTCTAAGGATTCTGGTATGTCTGATATGGGGCCTAGCTGAAGGTAATTGAAAAGACCTCAAGAATTCTTGTGGAACATTTTACAGGTGTCTGTAAGTGAGTGCAAAAGACTGTAAAATGTGGGTCTCATCTGTATCAAGACTGGGAATTCAGATTGCCTGAAACCCTTATTGACAGTTTGTCAACAACCAGGAAAATTACCCATTATCTGTATGGTCTATAAAATTAAGATACCTTAATTGGCTGCAACTAAGGAGCCACTGCATAAAAAACTACTTCCCCAAAAGAATGCACTAGACACAAATATTTTATTGCAAAGTATTTTCACTTGTTCTAGAGGAAAACATTATTCCAAAATGATCCTTTTTAACAACCAATGTCTATTCCTGTTGGACCGATTGTGCCATCATTTTTGCATAATAATATAAGGCCTTTAGGGAGATGACATTAGGAGGCAGTCAGAGATACTATAATGGGTTCTTGGAATGAGGAAATCTCTGTTTCCTATACTGCTAATTCTTCCAAGTTTGGATTTTTTCTTTAGAGAAATGAGAAAGATCAATAGCTCTGTTTCTTTTACCTGCTTTTTCTTTGTGTATACATCTATGCTAACTTACCTTAAGAGCACATATAGTAAAGGTTGGGCTAACTCTATTTTATTTTTTAATGTATAGTACTTTAAAAAGTGCTATTACAACTGAGTAAGATAATTTGTGGTTGAGGAACTTGCCTTATAGATACCCTATAATAATACAATCTATTATTTCTAATATACAATAACTAAAATGTTAAGATAGTGACATAAAAACTAACTGGTCAATGGAAACTACTAAGCATAAGAATGTAACATAAATACTTCAATGGGATTCAACAAATGATTCATTTGTTGATCATTTAATAAATGATGTTAGAAAAATTAGAAAAAAAATCCAGTTAAGCCTTTATTTCACTCCATACATCAATACAAATTTCAGAT